CCTTTCAGCAATGACCTTCTGTGGCTTACCCTCTTTGTGGACAGTGCCACTGTCAGGACAGAAGCCTACCCCATGATTGTGGTTGTGTGTACTGAACCAGAGACATGGGAGACAACCAGGTTGACATTTCTGCATTATACATTCTTTATTTTAATATGTATATATTCTAATAATATATCCTAATATTTTGATTATGCGATCTTTGATTTCCATGAGCTGTAAGCAAATCAAAATTAAAACTTAAAAGGCCTGAAATATTTCACTTTATGTGTAGTGAATTTAGAATATATGAAAGTTTCACTTTTAGAATTACAGAATAAAATTAACTTTTTTACGATATTCTAATATTCTGATATGCACCTGTACATCTGTAGCCTCTCCTGTCCCTTGGCTATATTTTGTTATGGAGCTTCAAAGACATGCTCATGCATATTTCTGCACAGTTTGTGCCTGCTGGTCTTTATAAACTCCTCTGGTAAAAATGTCAGCAATGAAAAACAAGAAAACAAGAAAAACAATTTCAAAATAATCCTGTGGTTTCTGAACTCTTTCCCCTCTCTTTGCTCAGTTCAGAACATTGTTGACTAACCACAGACTGAGTCATATTTTCTTCTTTTTGTCAGTTGATGTCACTAACTGTTACAGTGGAAACATATCTGTTAGTAGAGGGCAAAGTGGCTAACCTTAAGGCATGAAATTACTTTTGTGCAACTGACTCACTCACATTTGACCTTTGAAACAGCAAACCTAAACTAGACTAAACTGTGCAGATCAGTCCGACGGATGTTTGTGACTTTGGTGCAGTTATTTGTCGTCTCTCTGTGATTATACGCATGTATGAAAGTTATCCCCTTTCAAAAGCTTTTCCATACCTTTGTGAAAAGATCAAATGTTTCCATGTCAGTGTTTGGCATTAAAGCTGCTAATGTTCCCTAACTGACATATTAGACTTATCTATTAGAAACAACACAAAACAATTTAACTGCATCACAAACTACAGCCTCCAGAGTTACCGTAAAGTTGATTTAACCTCTTTAAAATACTTTGAACACAAACTGAACATTATAACCTTCATGAAGGTTGAGGACTGTTGGATTAGATTGCATCAGTGTTAACTAGGTAACTAAATACACATCCAATGGAGTGTAAATATATGTGATTTGTAGTACACAGGGTAAAACATGCAAAAACACTGGTACCATCCTGGTAAATCACTGGGTATTGCCACTGAAGATCAGCTACTGCTCTTTTCTCTCTCTGTTCTGTCTTCAAACTGTCACTAAGATAAAAGAGCATTGATGTTGCTGTTGAAGTTGGCTCATCTTACCTTGCAGGTTCTGTGGTAAGGAGTCCATATTGTAGGTTTCAATAAAACACTGGTACTGACAGAAAAATGCACATAAAGTCAAGCTGTGATCATCTACTGCTCCACCAGTGTCTCACCTCTAACCATCACTGAACTAACCCCTCTGATAACTGGTCAGTGTTTTACACCACAATATCTATACAAAAGGAAGGAATGATGCAGGGAAACATCTAAAAACAACTCATATATGCAGCCTTTTAAAAGATAAATTCTATCTGAATAAGCAGCATACATCTGTAATCATCCAGTGCTGGCTGAGGAGTAGAGACGAGAGGAGGAAGGTGTCGGTATGTGGCAACAGAAATGAGAAAATGCAGGGTGAAGCTACCAAAGGTGTGGAGACATGCGGTGCGCACACACACACACACACACACACACACGTCTGCATATAACCTGCTTTTTCTTTTCCACTCATGCATGTGTGCACACACCATAGGCTGTATAAAAAAGGTGCACACACATTTCAACTAGTCTTGCTTATTGTGCACACTTTTGTTTTTTGCTCATGAACTTAGACACACATCCTGTTCCATGTTGTGAGTCACAACTGTAGCGAACGAGGAGAGGACTGAGCTTGCAGGAACCTTGTTTAACCTCCCACAATGAGAAATACACCACAGTCAGGAAATCTGCAGTTTCACAAAGTAAAGCTTCAAACTGTTTAAGACGTGTCAAAATACTGAATATGTAATGGAATTACACTGAAAAAGAAAACATGCTGGCAAATGTATCACAGTGGTTGAAGTAGTTCATGTCAGAAAATCTAATCTTTAAGACTAATAGACTGTTTAATTTGCAGGCCTCAGGTCCTGTGGTACACGTACAGCCAGTGCAGGTGTGTTAAACTGACCTCTAACCACCAGCGGGTGGTTGCATTGCAAACCTGGATTAAAAATGACTCCTACATATGTTTCAAACAGCTCGTTGGCACTAGTCATGCAAGAATTGTTTTGATCAAGTAAAAGTACTAGATTCAAAATTGCACTTTAATAAAAGTACAAAAGTATTAGTTTTAAGATGTACTGAAGTATTAAAAGAAAATGTATTCACTATGCAGAATGGGTGTTGGATTATTATTACACATAATGCTGGTTACATGCTGGTTAGGTGAGGCTCCTGTAAACTCTTTACTGTTGGGTGGTTTAACCTATAATATTCCATCATATTTTACAAGCCTCTCGAATGTGTTAAAGGGGCAATATGGAGTTTTTAGCGGCCACTAGCTGTGTGGTTTTAAGATTGCAACCTGGTGTGTGCTCGTACGCGTGAACTTGTGAGCGAGCATAATCCAAAACACAACCGCTTTCATAAAGAGACCACAATAAACGTGGAATCACCAGCATGCAGGCTGTGGCTTTTCTCCAGATATGTTCAGCTTCTGTTACTGCGACGTTCTCGGCTCAGAGGCAGATCAACACCCGCGCCGTACCTTTCATTCAGTGCAGCGAGCGACACCGGCATTTTGGCACAATACTACCTGAAAAAAGGCAGAGTGACAGCGGCTATAGACAGGCAGGGAGACAGCTTCACACAACATGCTGGAAACTCAGGTCAACTCCCACTGCAACGTTACAGTAATATTTTATCACCTCGACAATGAACTAATCCATGCTCGTTACATGATATCATTACAGTGACTGCATTTAACCAACATAGTTAGCTCGCCTGCTGCTTTCAGTAACAAACTTCACTATCTGTGAATCTTTCACCGGAGGCGCAGCAATGTCAGCACAGCTACATGTATTTGATGATAACGAAACGCTTAGTGAACTATACTGATTATTATAACAAGATCATGTCCACAGTTAGACCGCAGTAAGTAAATATACTGTAGTGTTAGTGGATGGCTCTTCTTCTGTGTTGTTGTCGCCGTCTTGTTGCAGTATTGTATATTATGTGGGTCACGTTACAGCGACTGAGAGGTGGAGAAGCTGTGTACTTGAGTATCGTAAAATGACCAATGACTATGATAAATCTATATTGAACGTTACGAAGCAAACGGCAGGTCTGAGCTAATTAGTGTTAGTTGGCTGCCCTACCTTGCATCACTATAGGTTAGTAAACTAATCCCTCCACATTAGCTTTGTACAGTTACATCATTTCTTGCAGGCAAAATCAACACTGACATAATACCGGTGGTACACAGTACAGTAACATGGGTCGCGTTAGCGTGTGAAGTAATGTGGAAATAATACAACTTTGTGCTGGATAACGTTAGCAACTGCTCTGCGTTTGCCTAACGTGACTCTGAATTTCTGATGTGATTGTTTTTACCCGACATCTCAATCTCGTTTGGTCTGACAGTCTTCATCGCATTGACCTTTATTATTATTTTTTATTCTTACATGGAGTTTATGTTGGACTCTGTTTTGTGGTGTTAGTGGACTGCATGTCGTTAGCTGCGGTGTTGTCACTGTAGTGGGAGAGAGACTCGGGAGCACGCACAGGGCTGAATCCTGACCTGTTGTCCTCACATTAAAAGCAGAATAGGGGCTGTTCCAAGCAAGAGAAAACAGGCATGTCCTTAATTTCTAAGTGAGGTTAGAGCTCATTGACAGTAAGGCAGTGAAAATTTGATTTATTAATAAGTGCTTTCATTGAAAAACTACATACAGCACCTTTAAATGTAAAATGTGCATCTAAAACGTGAATGCTGAAAGCTGAAATGATTTTAAAAGTATTGCTTAAAATGCAGAAATATTAAATGAATTTGCCTGAAAATGCAGCAGCTGGACTGTTGAAAAAGCTGGAAGCTGAAATGTGAAACTGCTATAATTGGGAGTTGGAAAAATTTAATAGAAACATAAATGTCCTTAAAGAACATAACAATTTTACAAATGAATTGTTTCTCCACCTGAAAGTATGCCGAATTATTAGTTAAAAACATACCGAAGATGAATAAACTGCATAACTAAAACTGCAGAAATGTGATCGAAATGAATTGCCAGAATTGGAAGCATGCATTATATAAAGAACCGCCTGACACTGAGCATGGCGCTGTATTGTCGCGTCTGTGACCCAGTTACATCTGCTCTGTGCAGCTTGTCCCGGCTTCCATCAAAAACTGACTTGCTGCGTTTCATCTGTAGAGCAGAGCAGAGAGACACTTCTGAAAGACGCTGCAGCTTGTCTGGTAGACTCACGAGCATCTTTTGGAATGGCCATGATCAGCTCTGTGTGTTGCAGCCGGAACGTAACACAGCCGTGCCTAGTGGAATCCAGCCCAGTCAAGTGTTTTTTTAGGAAAACATACATTGTGAATATTTCCAGAATTAACACCCAATAAAAATAATACAGATTTGAATAACTATGGTGTGACTAAAAAGTGTAGATGGAGTGGAGTAAATGTACTATTTCCCCCTGAAATGTAGTGTATAGAAAAGTAGCATTAAAAGAAATACTCAATTAAAGTACAAATACCTTGTTTTGAGCTAAACAACCCCATACTCCTCTGTGTAAAACATGAGAAACAGCATGATACTATTTTTCCCAGCTCTACCACTTACATTTGGCTGTAGTGACCTGGAAAGAGAACAATGGGATGAAATGCTTTTGTGCTTGTTTAAACCATCTTCCACACAAAATCCCGCCCGCAGCTGTACTGCAAACAGAAAAAAGAGAGGTGCAGCAGTCATGGACCCGTTAGGAGGATTTTATTTTTCATCAGCTGTACAGTGCCTCATCTGTTTTCTTGGTCTTAAAACAGTAATGTGGTTAAAACCACCTTAAAACTGTTCTCTCAATTCTTCTGCCAAAACAAACAAACAAAGCAAAGCTATGTGCAAACAAAAAACAATACTGTCGCTACGGGAACAGTCGAACATCCATCTTCCATCCGTCCTCCTGCAGAACAATAACATGATAGATTGATAACAAAACATTTTGCTCATTTGTGTTTTACAGAATGAGACCTCAGACCACAGCAGTGCACTCACAGAAAGGTTTTTGAATGATTCTTGCAAAAGTGTCAATCTGATGTACAAACACTGATTTCCTCACATACCTTCTTTTAGTATCAGTATCTTGGCACTGCTATCTCTGTGTCCATGGTTCCTTACAGCCTGGAAGGAAGGCCACATAACAACCATCATAACCTGTGGTCAAACTGTCACTGCAGAGCTTTTAGCCCTAGTCTAAGGATTCACACCTTCAGAAGACTCAAATCATATGATTTGTTGAGATTCTGACCATGAAGATTCATTTAGTTCTAACCTTGATCCTAATCCTGTGTTTTTGTAAAGAAAACTAGGCTCTGATTTGGAGTGACTGGCGTGGGCCAAGGTAAAGACACACCTTGGTATCAGCTGCAAATGCACACCATCCGACAGCTCAGGGCTACTGGAATTGCAAGACTTGGGCTAAACGGGCCTCAGTTCAGGGCTGATTTGGACTACCCAATTAAGTCACATAGCACAGCAAACAAATACAGAGCTTCTAAAAACTGTCACCAATCAAAAACATTATTAAAGCTTTTAGATGGTTGCCAAACTGTTTTTTCTTTCAGCAAATTCTCCAAAAGCTCTTGTTCCTTATACGTCAAACTAATCTCACACCTTTGGGCCAAAAGGTTAAACTGAATAAGACTACGCTTCTGTCACACTACTGAACCGAACCAACTGCACAGAAACTGCAAAATGGCCAAACATGAAAACCGTAGAACAGTATCAGAGCAGATCCAAAATGGTCATGAGCAACAGAATACAGACAGAAACATGAGTGGTTCAGATAGTTCAGTTTGGTTAAGAAGAGCTTATCTGTGGAAGGAAAGCACAATGGAAAGGTCATTCTGCAAATCACCTTTACAGGCTAAGGGCGTGGAGGACAAGGTATGACACTGAAAAAAACTTTTAACCAACACATGTCAAAGTCAGCCATTTAAATACAAAAATGGTTCACAAGAAATCAAAAAGCAAAGGGTTTAAAATGTTGTTACATGCAAACCATGTTTGGTGATCATGGATTGCTGTGGGGGGTGGCTGGTATTAGCTTGCAAAACATGTTGGAGTTTATTACTGCTGATTACTTCAAGTGAACTGATTCAGATGCATAGACATAATTCCATGTTAATTAAAGTAGTTGGAATGTTCAAAATCACAACTATATTACAATATTCTACCACCTAAATCAAGATTATCTGTACCCATCTGTACCCACCAGCAGGGATCAGTGATAGGTAGGGGGGGAAACGGCTGATAATGAACTTCATCTCAAACTATGTTAGTGCTGGGAAACTAAATTAGCAGCAACCTCAAGTATTTAATTTGCCTGAGTTGACTGAGGGCGGATTTCCATTAAAACAAGGTTGAGTGCTGGTGAACTGGGCAGCTGACTCACTGACTTCATTCATTTGACGGTATCTGCCTGTGCCCATTTGCTCATGTATAAAGAAGAATCCTTCTGATCCTACGATAAAAGCCTCCATATACAAACAGCCAAATACTAACACCACAACACTGACCCTGTGTTTACACAGGCCAAGGCGGAAATCATACTATGGGGGGAAAAATATACACATCATATGACTGAGAGCAAGTGGTATCTCAGAGGCAAACTTGAGTACCGTGTACTACATTTCATTAGGAAATACTACATTTATATCTATATATACACATAGAAAGGCTTGGAATTTGCTAAATTAGCATGGTTGCAAGAGAACAGCAAGCAGGCCAGAAGAAAAACAAAGTGAAAAGTGAAGGTCGACCAAATAATGTCTCCTTTGGCAGAGCAACATGAAGAGGAGCTGAACATGAACGGCATAGACTGACACAGGATGTGGCTTTGGGTAGAAAAAAAAGTAACAAAATCCACAATGATTCATTCAGAAGACATTCAAACTGAAAAAAAGCATTTAAGAGCAGGGAGTAGTCTGTAATTAGCTTGATAATATTTGTATATGATGTGGAGATGACACAAGTATGTGCAGTGGGATTGCGTATTTTGTGTGTGTGTGTGTGTGTGTGTGTGTGTGTGTGTGTGTGTGTGTGTGTGTGTGTGTGTGTGTGTGACCCACAAACATCAGTATGCAGGTCGATGTACATGGATTTGAAGTTACTTTCTAAGTATTTACATGCAGCTTCCCTTCTTTGTACATGGTTGTTTTTGCTGCCACCATTTTTGCAGCCACTTCAATGGAGGCAAAATGGCTGCCTTTAAAAGCTCACACAGATGGAACATCAGGTGAAGGCCAAGGATGTGGAAATGTTAATGTGTATTTGCCAATCTGACTCATAGTCCGGCTACATGCATGTGGCTGTTCTGTTCACCGGTCCATCATGCTGAGGATCATCTCTGGTGTCAGATCTCCGTTGGCAGCAGCGGCCGCTGTTTCCTCATTCACAGCCAGCTCAACAGTCTCCACCCCTTCCCCGTCTAGCCCCACCCCCTCCACAGTCAGGGCCACTCCGCTCCAGCGGTGTCGCTACAGAGGCATCGCCAACAGCTTTCACAACACGAAGAGGTGTACAACACAGGAGCTCAGCAATGGAAGCTAATTTCAGCCAAACACGAACGTTATTCAGAAATTGGTAACTGCATGTGTGCTTCACAAGCTGAATATCAACGATGATAGCTTCTCAAATATAGCGGTATGCTGTTGTCGAGGCAGGAAGAGATGGCCCGTAACAGTTACCAGTAACTTAACCATGAGTAAACCTTGGTAAATTGTTGTTTCAACTGAGTTTGGCGAGGCAGTGGTCAATAACGTTAGCAAGCGAAACGACTTGAATCGGCCCTGTTAACTTGTGACTTTTAGGCAAACGCGTCTGTGGTTATCGTAGTTACGACATCTGTTCAAAAAAAGAAGAGAATACGTAGCAGCCTGCTAGTGCCTCTTTCTATAGTTCACTAAAAAGTCAAAACATACCTTTCTGATTCGTGTTTGGAGTCTTGTGTCACGTACCACTTAGTCAAGCGTTGAACGTTGCTTGTTGTTAAGGTAAACGTTCCTCTTTCTTCCTTGTTGTTGAACGACGGTTGGCATCCAACATTAATGGTGCATTAGGGTGTTGTAGCCCTACTGGTTTTCAAACTAACTGGTCGCCGTACGCGTGCGCGTGTTGTGCGCAGCAGCTGCGGACTGACTCCATCCCCAGATTCGTCACACATTCACAAACATGTTCCCGGCGAGTTTCAAGTCGCATCTTAAATCTACTGCGGCGATCATGATTGAATAAGTGAGCACTACATTATCTAGCCACACACGAAAAAAAGAAATGGAAGAAAATAGACTTTTTACAAAATCGCGTCAAGCTGGATTCGAAGTCACCTGAGCAAAAAGTAACATCTGGTCCCAGATCTTCACGTTACCTGCGAGCTGATCCAGCAATCATAGATGACTGTCTTCCAGTCACGTATTGATTAAGCACGTCATCATCCAGGTAACACTTTGTTTGGGCTGCTCTACAACAGCTGGTTACTTTGAGCGATCTTAAAAATACCACAACATGTTTATCAAGGTGTTTTTCTCGTGGCAATATTGACCCCCTACACGCTATGACACGGGAATGCTTTTAAACAGTGACTCTCTTACTCCGACAATACTGTGAATACATGAATTTATTAAAACACCGAGCCACATGAGGAGCAGAAGTGGAAATATTCTGCCCACAACACAGTAGGCCTCATGGACTTAATGATTTACAGTCATCATCAACACAAAAAGCATCAAGTCAGAAATAAGGAAACGAAAAACTGGAATTTGTAAGGAAGTTACTTTGTGTTTTACACTTGATGAACAAGCAGCAAATACACTCCGGCGACCTGATTTAGGCTAATGTAGCCTTATGAAGATGAGCTTGAACAACAACTAACAAGTTAAATGGGTTTTAAGTTCGTGTTTTGGGAAATAAAAAACGAGGCTCAACTTGCAGTAGGCTACACAGTGTAACTCAGAATATTGCATATTGTATACTGCAGAATATTATGGAAGCATATAGGGGACAAAAATTAAAATTATCATGAAAACTTCCCACAATAACATTAAAATTTTCCACATATGTATGTGTTATTTAGGTAAACATTTAAATGAAAATGCAATCATTTTCATTTTCACATACTTGTGTGAGCAATCTAGGACCATATTAAAATGAAAATGGAAACAGCATTTGACATTGCATTTTCAAAGACTTAGTCTGCTCTATAGTGGACTTTATTCAAATGCAATGAGTGAAACAGCGCCCCCAGTCTATCAGGAGAAATTATTTAGCGTTCTCCTGACAACCAGCGAATACTTTTAAACTGTCCTCTGGCAGCAAGAAATCTGTTACCATTAAAAAACTGTAACCGATTAAATCAGTCACACACCTTTAAAAAGGGACATTTTTGAGTTTTTAAATATATTTATAACATATTTATTGCCATAGGTCATCAGGTTGTAATGCCATCTAAAATTTGAGGCATTCACCAACTTTCTCAGATGCCTATAAAAGCCTGTATAGGCCAACTGCTTTCTACGTGAAGGACTGGTCACATTTCCTGCGAAAAGCAACTGTCGTGCTGACATTTATGTACGCAATATTACAGCAAATCATGTGAAACACTGTAATTTTGTGTTTAGTTGATTTAAACTAGATAATGTGAGCTTGCCTGCAATGATGTGTGAGAACTTTCACCGTCCACTTGATCAATACAACAAAATTCAAATTGGCCAGGAGGGAACAAAGATGAAGAGAATAAACAGTGAGTGAGTGATGAATAACGTAAGTAGTGTAGGCGGTGTAGCACAGGCACAACCTGGAGGAGGAACTAGTCTAAATGACTGTATTAGTATAATAATATAACATTATTAGTATGTTGTTAATTTAATATTTAACTGTAAGTTTGATATTACTTATACATTATGTTACTATATCCAATATAATTTCATATAATTAGTATATAACTTACCACTAGTACATTAGTTCAAATTACAGCTGCTTCAGTTTGGAGTTGTTTTTTTATTCATTAACTTCACTACCCCTCCAACCTTGATTTTAGGCAGGCTACTAACTCGTCAGTAATCATAACTGTTTATGCAGAACATTGAGTTCAACATTTATAAAGTTTGTTGCAGCACATCAAACTTTAAAAAAAAAATCCCGCTCCATCCAAGCTGTGCACAAAAAGTGACAGTGACAAGAGCATCGGCTTTATGAAAAGCTGAGTGCGTTTCAATGAAAGGCAGAGATTTAGCTAAATAGCCAGCTAACGTTATACAAACCCACATGCTCCTTCAATTTTCCCTGTTGTCTTCTGTCTTACCGATTCAGCTGCTGCCTGTTTTTCAGGAACGGGGCTGTTCAAGTGGCCATAGAGCGACCGGCCAACCGGGTTAATCCCGTTACTCCTGATCGCCACTCCGACTATGTTTTGACTCGGAAATCATTTTCCGGTTCGCACGGATCTATTTTTTGGAGCGTTTAAGAGTGAAATAGGCGCACGGTAGATCCCTGCGCCTAACGTTACAGAAATTAATCACACAGTCGCTACTCACTGCCTGTTTAGTGTTTTTGGCTATGCATTATAAATAAATGCGTTCACCTACACTTTTAGCAAACAAACTTTTAGACAAACAGGATTTTCACATTGAAAAAAATATCTTCAAAATTTAATACCTTGTTAAATGGCGATAAAGACTTTTTAATGGCCTTAATTTTCGAAAAATTTATTTATTACCTTTTAAGACCCTGCGGACACCCTGTAATTGTAATCTCAATGTTCTAAATCAAAACAGACAACATACACGTAATTTATTTTTATAATTTAATGTTAATGTTGTAACATACTCCTTTAAAGGGAAGATGTACGATACAATTTGTAAAGTATTATATTTATCACAGTCAGTGTTTTGGGAACAGTTGGTTTCTATCTGGGATGTGGAGTGGAAGTGTTAAGAGAAGTAG